ACTTTTTTTTTTTTTAAAAAAAAAAAAAAAAAAAAAAAAAAAAAAAGGTTCAAGTCCACCTGGGCAATTTACTAAAACCTTGTATCAAGATTATAAAAAAAAAAATAAAATAGCCGGGCACGGTGGAACATGTCTGTAATCCCAGCACTCAGGAGGCTGAAGCAGGAGGATCGCTATGAGTTCGAGACCAGCCTGGGCTACATACTGAGTTCCAGGTCAGACTCAACTACATAGTGAAACCCTGTCTCAAAAAACAAAACAAAACAAAAATTTGCTGGGTATGGTGGCGCACACCTGTAATCTTAGCACTCAGGAGACTGAGGCAGGAGGATCACCTCAAGTTAAGAGTCCAGCCTGGGCTACATAATTAGTTCAAGGCCAACCTGAATTGCCTATGCAGACCCTATCCTTCCACTCTCCCCCAAAAACAAAAGCAAAAAAAGGAGTGGGGCTGCAGCTCCGTGTGAAGGCGTTAGGTTCATTCCTCAGTAATGCTGGATAGACCATAACTGGGGCGGTGGTGCACAGGGGCACACTGAGAGGCTGAGGCAGGAGGGCAGCAAGCTCAAGCTGAAGCTCAGCCCGGGCAGCTTGTTGACTCGGTGAGGCTGTATCAAAATGAAAAATAAAAGAGTTGATATCTGGGCATGGTGGCTCACACCTGTAATCCCAGCACTTGGGAGGCTGAGGCAGGAGGATCACTGAGTTCGAGACCAGCCTGGGCTACACTACATAGTGAGTTCCAGGTCAGTCTCAACTACACAGTGAGACCCTGTCTCAAAAAAAATACGGGGCGTGGGTGTGTGTGATAAAACTCACTGCAAAGGCCCTGGCTTCACCACCTCACTCCACCCCCACTTCCAAGAGAGGGGGGGTTTGTTAGAGTTGACAGAGGCCAGTACAAAGATGGGAGGTAAACCTGTGGGAGGCAGAAACACTTACCCAAGGTAAAGGACTATGACAGTTGTAAAAGGTGACAATAAGACTCCAAACAGGAAAAAGTATTTAATACTTTAACAAAATGTGAAATAAAGTACCCAAGTTACAAAACGTAAATTGCTTTGGTTCAGTGATCACAGCAATATTTTTACCGTTCAAATGGCTACAGACACCATACTGCCCCCTTCACCCCAGAAGATGCCACCCCGAAACCATCGCATATGACATTCAGTGAAATTGTTGGCAAACAGTAAGGGGCAGGAAGGAGAACAAGCTGGTCTGGAGGAGGAAGGGTACTACACATGCAGAACAGGTCAGGGCGCCCTCCGCCGGGCCGCTGTGGTATGAACCACAGCCCTCTACATGCTACACAAGACTGACGCCCTCAGCACAACCACGTGGACAACGACAACCCAGCGAGCCCAGCATTCCTGGGAAAACAAAAGAAAAAGGCAGAGCCACGGAAGAGAGGAAAAGACACAGCCAGAGGCACGTCACAGCCTACCAGGGAACATCTAGTCCAAACCCTGTTCCACAGATGGAGACGAGACCTAGAGACACCAGAAGACACACAGGTTGTGGCCGTCGGTACAAGAACTTCGTTTCCTTTTAACATGACAGAATGGAAAGAAATGGACGAGGAATTCATTGACCTACCAGGCCAGGGACAGACTCGGGATTCCCGCTCCTGTGAGGAAAAGTGCCTATGGGGTCGGAAGCCCTTCCTCGACTCTCAAGAACCAGGGGTCTTCAGGGTCCCTGTGACTCTGGGATAGAGGAACCCAAGCAGACAGAAAGCTAGGCCACCCAATAGGGACACAAGGTCACGGCCTTTGATCTGCTCCCAAACCAGACCGGAAATAGCCACGGTAAGCTCAGGATAAAAATTCAACCACCACTCTGGCAAATGCCAGGGGACAGGAAGACAAGTTGGAAACCCAGAAATCTGCTGAAGGCTGAAAACTGGAGCAAGAGTTTCTAAAGCACACCCGCTTTCTATCTAGTTCGAAGTAAGTATTCAATAAAAACTTACATAAGTACATGAAAAAATGAAGTCCAGGGCCAGGGATTTGGCTCAGTGGTTCTGCCACCTGCCTCGCATGCGCAAGGCCCAGAGTTCAATCCCCCGCACCGTTAAAAGAGGAGAAGTCCAAGAGAGCATCAGTGAATGTCTCGTTCCAGGTCCAGGTCTGGACCGAGGGCACTTCAGGGTTACATTTGCCTCCCCACTCTGCCGGGACAGTGGATGCGTTACATTACATTGTGCCCAGCAGATGAAACAGAGGGAAGTCAGTGCAGATTTAAATAATAAAGTTAAATAATGACAAGTCTGATTGGTAGAGACCAGAGGGAAAGGCAGAAAGCCTTTTCTACAAGCAGCGGCTTTCTTTTCCATCTTTTGCCTCCTAGTTTCACGAGGACAGTCCTGAACATCTCCAAACATGCACTGGAGGTGTCAGGCCACCTCCCCCACGCCCAGCCCCTCCCGAGAGTCACTTCTTTGACGCGGCAGCACTGGGAGCCTGGGACAGCGAGATCTGGGTGCACTTCTCGAAGACGGCCTCGGCGGAGAGCTTGGGCAGCCCCTGGTCCAGCGGACACTCATCCACCAAGCTGTTCATGGGTGTGGGGGGCAGCGGGGGGTCGTCTTCATCTTGGCTCAGTCCAGGAGTCAGGGCGCTCCCTGCCCTGTCCAACCCCTTGTCCACCTGCTCCGAGGATGTGGCTTCAGGCTGCCCTGCTGGGATCTTCATGGAGTCAGAATATGCTGACAGGGCTTCCTGGAGCAGAGGCAGAACTTTCTTCCGGGAAACCTGGGTGTTGCCCTGGAGATAGGCCTGCAGGTTGGGCTGCGTGCTTGGGAAAGGGGTCAGCTTCAGCGTCGGAGAGTGGGAGCGTTCCAGGGCTCCACAGAGCTACAGAGGCGACAAGGACAGGAAAGGACGTAGAACTCAATGCAGTGAAAAACTCAGGCTTCCAAGTGAGAAGTGTCAAGAGAGGAGGGAACTTTTTAATTAAGTCATTTAAACTTCAGTTTTAGTGTGTGCAACCAATAATACACATTATTACTAATACACACAGTATTTTAGAAACACAACACCCCGCCCCAATGCTGGAGCTGGGACCCAGGACTTCTGCACTGAGCTACATACCCAGCCCCTTTTTAAAAAAATTCTGAGACAGGATCTTGCTAAATTGCCTAGGCTGGGATCGAGCTTGCAATCTCCTGCCTCAGCCTCCCAGAGTGCTGGGATTATAGGCATGGGTCACCACACCTGGCAAGACACAGAACCGTTTAGATCTTATTTTTATTAATAAGGAAACGTAGGTTGGGATTGGGCTCAGGGGGTACAGCACTAGCCCAGCAGATAACAAGGCCCTGAGTCTAATCTCTTCTTGCACCACAAAAAAAGTACCAAGGATGTCTGGCTGGGCATGGGGTACTCATCTATAATCCCAGCTACTAAGGCAGGAGGATTGACCTGGGCAAGCTGAAGCCAGCCTGGGCAACCTAGCAAGACCTTATCTCAAAATTAAAAGGAGAAGGGGCCAGGGATGTATCTCAGCAGTGCTGTACAGCCTTGGGCTCAATCGTCAGTACTGCAAAAAAAAAAAAAAAAAAAAAAAAGGGAACCAAGGCTCAGAGAGAGGAAGCGCCTGGAGCAAAATCATGCGGACGATCAGAGTCTGAACCAGAACCCAGGAGCCCTGGGTTCTAACACTCTAGTCTAGCCTAAGAGTTTAGGTCAGGCACGTCCTGCAAGCTGGGCAAGGCGGCACAGGTCTGTAATCACTGCGAGCCTCACTGACTCAACAATGAGAGGCCCTATCTTCTTCCAGCAACATGCAAGGCTCCTGCGCTCAGAGGTGGGATGTGGGAGGTGACTGGGCCCGGTCAGAGCACCTGGGTCACCGGGTGGCGCTGTCTCCCTCCCCACGCCTCCCTTCTCTTCTGCTTCCGGCCATCATGAGGCCAGCAGGTGCCCGCTGTGTGCCCCTCCGCCATGCTGTTTCCACCCTGGATGGTAACCACGAGCCAAAAGGAACCCTTCCTCCTCTCAGCTGCGCGTGTTGGGCACTGTGTCCCAGGGAGAAGAAAGTGACTGCGACACCGCGCTGTTTCCAAGTGTATGGCTGTGGCTCAAGGGTGGGGCCGACACCTCTGGAGGCCAAGGGAAGGCTGAGGCAGAAAGAAGCAAGGAGGATGGGAGTCAGGCCGCTGACAAATATTACCTCATTTAACACTCAGACTACCTCCTGAGACGGGTTACTCTCACCCTCATTTATGGTAGGGAAGCCGAGGGTGAGGTAGTTGAGGTAACTTACGGTTTGTATGAAGGAAAACTGACCCTTGAACTCAGGTTTGTAACCAAAACCAGTGTTCTACATCAATATATATTAATGCTGTCCCTAACAAAGGAGGAAGCGGAGTGGTGGAGGCTCATTTTGAAGAGGATTCCTATCTCCCAGCACAGAGGCAGCCCAGGCCAGGGGCATCATCAGACATCACACAGCTTCAGGGCAGCAGAGAGGGGCAGATTCTGGAAGGTGGAAGAGCGCTACTTTATTTTTTGTGACACTGGGGACCGAACTCAGGAAGCACTGAGCTGCATCTCCAGCCCCTTTTTATTATTTATTTTTGGTACCGGGGATCGAACTCAGCTCCTTGTGCTTGCGAGGCAGGCGGCAGAACCACTGAGCTCAATCCCCAGCCCCGGCTCTTCTATTTTGAAACACCCTCCTAAGTTGCTGAGTTGCCCAGGCCAGCCTCAAGCTTGTATTCTCTAGCCTCAGCCTCTCAAGTAGCTGTGATTGCAGGTGTGTACCTCCATACCCAGTAGAAAAGCACTCACCGCCCCCGGCCAGGGACTGAACTCAGGACCTTGCACTTGCAAGGCAGGCATGGGAGTACTGAGCCAAATCCCCAGCCTAGAAGAGCTATTTTTAGAGCCAAAGTACCCTCTCCTTCACGACAGGACCAGTCGGAGCCACTATGCTGGGTGATTACTCTCGAGGGTACTGCGTTAGTGACCTCATGGGACCAAGCACCACTGTGCCATTTTACAGACTCAGGAGTCAGTGGACGCCTTAGCTCAAAGGCACCCCAGTGGCAAACTGGGGACAGAAAGCGTCTGTCAGGTTTTAGAAAATTAGCTCTTTCCACAATGCCAGACTCACACTGAATGAAATCACATTTGCTTGCTGGGGGAGAAAGCAAAGTCGAAGAAATGGGAGCGGCGACCTACCTCTCACAGGCGCAAGGGCTGTCTGCTGTGCTGGTCTCCAGCAGTCCTCACAGTCTAAGCAACCCAGGCTCCCTGAACTGCCTCAAGTCCACTTTTAAACTCTTCTCTTGCTAATCATTGACCAACAGAGGAACAGAAAATCGCCAAATGGAAAAACAGGAAAGGAATAAACATGGCCCTCCACCACTGCTGCACACGGTTCACGCTCTAACGATTAATGTCTGCCTGGTTATAAAAGAAAGAAGTGCTGGAGACAGAAGCCGGGCCTCCTGCTCCGCCGCGGCGCCACGCGGCCCACCCCGTTTCTGATTGTCTAGGCCGCGAGCGGAAGCCAAGGAACAGATTTGCAGCGGAGAGGAGTTAATGATTAAGCCAAGAATCCAAGCTGATTCCAGATTCACAGCCCTTCCTAGTTCTGTGGCGACCCGTGCTCCACACTGGCGTGATGGTGATGCACACTCACACACGTGGAGAAGGGGCAAGGGGGCAGCGGGCTTCCCGGCACAGGTCAAGAGCTCCTGCGTGGAGCTGAGGACAGACGAGCTCGGAGCCCAGCAGGGACGGGGATGACACTCACCGCCATTCGAAGTGCCACGTGGGGACAGAACACAGCCAGCTGCCGCACCGGCTCGTCATGGGCGTCGAAGAAGATGGTCATGGCGACCAGGGCGTCACAGCTGTGAGCCTGGCAGAAAGCGCTGAGGTCTGGGAGGAGGCCCGGCCTCTGCAGGAAGGCCTGGGAGGGAGGAGGAGAAGGGTGAGAGCCATGCCGGACCCGGTCTGTCTCCGATGACAACAGAGAAGCCTTATTCTCCGCCAGAAGGTGCCTAGGATTCACCGTGCTGTACCCAGGCCAGGAGGCCACCAGATGGAACACGGAGAATGAGGGTTTTGGATTAAGACAGAACTGACTGAAAAACCAGGTCCATTAGTCAGGTGGTCAAGGAGTTACAGTCACTTCCTGGACCTAAGTTTTGACATCTGTAAAATAAGGAGACCAACAATTACCAAAAGTAATTGTTTTACGAACGAAAATATGGGGCTAGGATTTGGCTCAGGGGCTCCACTGCCTGCCTTGCAAGCACAGGGCTGGAGTTCAATCCCCGGTACCACACACACACACACACACGGCCAGGGATTTAGCTCAGTGGTGCTGGTGCCTGCCTCATAAGTACCAGGTCCTGAGTTCGATCCCTGATACCAAAAAAAAAGAATGAAAATATGAGGAGCTGGGGGTGCCATTCAATGGTGGATAATATGATTAGCATGTTCAATCCCAGCACCAAAACAAGAACAAACAAACCAAACAGAAAAAGAAAACAGGGTAACGCAACCTGGCATGTCAAAGGCTTTTCTGCTTTTGCGATCGAATAAGCAAGAGTTTTGCTTTGTGAGCATTTTTACTATAAAGCAGAACAGGGCCCACAAATACGAGCAGATCTGTGCCAAGCACGGTTTTGCACACCCGTGATCCTAGCACTCTGGAAGCTGAGGCAGGAGGATTCCAAGTTCAAGCACAGTCTGGGAAACCCTATCTCAAAATAAAAAGTAAAAAGAGCCCTAGATTCACTCCCTAGCACCATTAAAAGAACCAGAGTGCAGACGTGTGGTACTACACCCTTGACTGGCTCCACTTCGCCAATGTATAGCTCCTCTCCCAAATCTCATGCAGGATTTCTCCCGGTGAGTAATACCATCACCTATTTCCAATCAGGGCTTTTCTCTATCCTTAGTCTTTTAACGTGTTAATTTGCACTGTAGTAACGTACTTAGTAAGCCTTTATTCTTTTTTTGGTACTAGGGATCGAACTCGGGTCCTTGCACTTACGAGGCAGGCAGTGGAACCACTGAGCCAAATCCCCAGCCCAGCCTTTTGTCATTCTTACGTTTGCTTCCCAAACTATATTTTACACCACAACAGAAAAGGCCATGCTATTTTTTCTTAATTACTTAAGTGTTTTTTACATAGTACAAAGCAGAAAGCAGAACATGAGAGTATGTGCTCCCATCAGGTTCCTGTGTGGTACCATGTGCCTGTAATCTGAGTACATGGAAGGCTGAGGCAGGAGGATCACTGTGAGTTCATGTCCAGTGGATTATATAGTAAGACCTTGTCTCAAAAAAAAAAAAAAAAAGACTCAGATACGAAGATGAAATCATTGCCAGGTACAATGGCAAATGCCCGTAATCCCAGCTACTTGGGAGGCTGAGAGAGGAGGATCACAAGTTTGAGGCTAACTGGAGCAACTTAGCAAGACCCTCTATCAAAATAAAATCATTTTGGGCCAGGGATTTAGCTCAGTGGTGCCACGGCCTGTCTCACAAGCACAAGGTCCTGAGTTCGATCCCCGGTACCAAAAAAGTAAATAAAAATAAAATAAAATAATTTTTTAAAAGGGCTGGGGATGTAGCTCCGTGGTACAGTGACTGCCTGGTATGTAGGAGCCCTCTAGGTGCAATCTCCAGTACCGAAGAACAACAAAAAACCTACGAGTATTCATTTACCCACTCAGCAAACATCGCTGAGGACAGCACTACGGTACCAGAGAAAGGACCCTGCTCTCCACAGCTGATAAATTAGCAGAGGAATACAGACAACAAGGAACTATGAAACAGGATCATTTCAGCATGTTAGGTGCTACAAAGAAAACAAGACAAATTAACAGCTAGAGATTTCTGTTGTTGTTTTTGTTTGAGATGGAGTCTTACTATGCGGTCTACACTTGACCTCAAATTCCTGGGCTCCAGTGATATTCCTGCCTCAGCCTCCCAGTGGTTGGGAATACAGGTGACTGTCACTATACCCTGCTTGGGATTTTTTATGTCACTTATATTTTGTTTTTTTTGGTACCAGGACTCAAACTTGGCACCTTATGCCTGTGAGGCAGGCAGCGGAACCACTGAGCTAAATCCAGAGCCTTGCTAGAGATTTTTTGAACATAGGAGATATAATTTCAGTTACAGCAGTCAGGAAAAAAACCTCTGAAAACAGGACATATCTGAGCTGAGGACTGAATGATAAGAAGGAAACAGTTCTGCAGAGAGAAGACACTCAAAGGCCAAGTGGGGGATGCGTTTAACTGCGAGAAAAGAGAAAACCGGTGTTGCTGCAGGCCTGGCAGAAAGACAAGGGTGAGATCCAGCAGGGCCTGGACACCTCAGGAAGGGCTTCAGATTTTATGAAAAGCACAATGAAAAGGCAGGAAAGGGAGGTACGATTTGCCATGATCTGGTTACATCTGCGTGCTGTGGGGTGCACAGCTCGTGGAGATTCAGTGGGAGGTAACTGGCTGTGGGGGTCAGGGAGCCGGAAAGCAGGGCCGTCCCGCCGCTCTTACCTCCAGACCCACGTACATGGCACTGACGGCCACCTTGGCGCCGTGTCTGCAGATGACCTTCTGGTCCTTTCTCAGCATCTGCTCGGTGGTCAGTCCTGGCAATCACACACAAGACTGGGGTCAAGTGGGGGTGGGACCGAGGGCCCCGTCACCAGACGGGTGAGGACAAGGACAAGGGCAGCATGGCCTCTCCGCGGGCGATGAACACGGGAGATACTGGTCAGTCACCTGATGGGGTTAGGTCACCTCAGAGCAGGGACTGGAGAAAATCAAGCGGCACAGCTTCCCCTTCATTCCTCCGGCCTTTATTTGTGGGCTGGAAACCGAACCCCGGAGCACGTCGCCAAGCACTTTACCACTGAGCTCTACCTTCGGCACTAATTTTTCCCCTTTCTGTATGTTTGTGCCTTCGAAAAGTTCCTGTAGTACTTTGCTTTTTTGTCTCCTCTATTTTTTTCCCTTCATTTTTTTTATGTCAGCAGGCAGAAGCTGGGCAGATTATGGAAGCTTGTTGTTCTCTTCCTTTGCCCTTTATGTAGTCGCTCTAAATTTTTTCTGCCTCTCTATTACACAGCTCTTGCTCTAACAATAAGCATCTTTTATTGAAAAAAATGTTTTTCAGTACTGGATATTGTGCTCTTGTCACTGGATTAGACCTTTTCTTTCCCCTTTGGGGCAGTACTGGGGCTTGAACCCACGGCCCTCACACTGAGTTACAGCCCCAGCCCTAGTTTTTTTTTTTTTTTTTTTGAGACGGTCTCACTATGTAGTTGAAACTGACCTGGAACTCACTATGTAGCCCACGCTGGTCTTGAACTCACAGCGATCATCCTGCCTCAGCCTCCTGAGTGCTGGGATTACAGGCATGTGCCACCACACCCAGCCTCAGCCCTAGTTTAGACAATTTTTTTTACTTTGAAACAAGGTCTCACTGAATCACTAAATTGCCCAGGCTGGGCTTGAACTTGTGATCTTCCTGCCCCAGGCTCCTGATGCTAGGATTGCAGGTGAGTGCCATCTTGCTTGGATCTACAACTGTCTTGATGGTATTCCCGAGTACAGGGGACAAAGCTTGCCAATGCTTACCTGATACATCAAACTTTGCCTTTTGTAGGCAACTGAAGATCTCATTTCTTTGGGGCAGATCTGGGAAGAGGGCCTCTAGCTTCTCCACGTACTTCCTGTCCTTCGGGGTTGCCTTTCCGATTTTAAGGTCCATATTGACACAGTCCAGGATGATGGTTCCTGTGGAGAAGGGAGACAGCAAGACTCAAATCCAGTGCCCATCCATTCATGACTCTAGAATAACAGAACCTTCAAACCAAATGCAAAGAATCAACTTGCAGGGCAAAAAACAATGGAAAAAAATGAGAAATGCACTGTGTCCTGAGTAAAGCAGACCCCCTAAATCCTAAACACGCACAGGACATGCAGAAAAGACAGAAAGACAGCCTGAGTATCTCAGTCCCTAGAGATTCTGAAACTGAGCTGCAGAGGGGAACTCTTGAATAGGCCAAATTCCAGCAAAGACTCTTGAAATTGGAAGAGCAAGTTCAGTCCAACCACCCCTTTTTTATAAATGGAGAAAATGAAAACAAGAAGGCTGTGAGGTTTGTTCATTTGCTCAAGGACACCAAATAGTTTCCAGGGAAGCTGGTCCCAGAGCACTTTCCTGCCCTTGGGCCAGCACTTCTTCCGCCAGAAAAGGCTGCCAACAGGAAGTGCCAAGGTCTGCCGCCTGTACGTCTTGTCCATTTTCTCCAGCATAACATCCCACAGGTCTTTAAACAAGTGCCTAATTGGCCCCCAAAGAATCTCATCCTTTGGTACGAGCTGGATGATTTTTGTTTTGTTTTTGTTGAAACAGCGTCTCACTACGTAGTTGAGACTGTCCTGGAGCTCACTATGCAGCCCAGGCTGGTCTTAAACTCACAGCGATCCTCCGGCCTCAGCCTCCCGAGTGCTGGGATGACAGGCGTGCGCCCCCACACTCGGCTTGAGCTGGATGATTTTTAAAGTGCATGGGTTAGGCTGGAAGAGTGTGGACTTCTCCACTTTCCCTAGAGGAACTAGTCCGGTCCAACCTCAAGGTTGCCCTCACCATGCAGAAGGGCTGCTGTCTCTCTGTCCAAGATCTCTGGCGCCCCCTGCAGGATTCTCTCGGTCACCAGAGTGGCGCAGGACCCCACCAGCTCGACTGACACGTGGCAGGGAGGACAGTGCTTCTGCTCAATGGGCCGGTGGTCCATCACCTCTGCTACCGCCTCCTCCAGAGCTGCGTCATTTCTATAGAAGGGGAGGTACGGGAAAAGAGAAACACAGGGGTACTCTGGCCGCATCTAACCCATCTCCATCTCCCCGCCCTCAATTAAAGGACATACAGACAGATTAGGCAAACACATAGACTTTTGGTTATTTCTGTCTCTCCTTTAATCCTCTCAGTTCTTTCTTCAGCCGAGTGTGTGTGTGGGGGTACCGGGGACTGAACCAAGGGTGCACTGAGCTATAGCTAAAAACAGCTGGGGATATTCCTTAGCTGAGTACTGTACTTCCCAGCATGTACTTGCCCATGCCCTGAAGCCCTGGGTTTCATGTCTAATACAAAAAAGAAAAGAGGATTAGCAGGAGCCAGACAGACTTAGACAAGTCTCATCTTCATGTTGCTTTTTTGGCAGGGTTTTCCCTAGTCCTAAATTAGGGGTGGAATTATTAATAGTTATGCACATTTGTTAAACAGATATGAATGAGCCAGGCATTGTGGTACATTCCCTAGACACGAATGAGGTATTTATAGACTCCAGTATAACACATTCCAAAATCACTAAGAGTCTATGTAGGAAATACCTTTGCTAGCCTTTTAAAAAATACCCAGGTATTGGCTGGTATGGTAGCACACCCCATAATCCCAGCACTTGAGAGGCTGAGGCAGGAGGATCGCCACAAGTTCCAAGCCAGCCTGGGCTACACAGTGAATTCGAGGCCTGGGATACACAGCCAAACCCTATCTCAGAAAACCAAAAAGAATGGACTGGGGATTTAGCTCAGCGGTTCTGCTGCCTGCCTTGCAAGCGAGTTCAATCCCCAGTACCAAAAACAAAACAAAACAAAAAAAAAACACCCAAAAAGAAGAAAACAAAACAAAAAACCCTAAACAAATAAAATGAAGCTGGGCAGGAGAATTGCTGAAAGTTTGACACCAGCCTGGGCTATATAGTGAGTTCAACGCTAGCCTAAACTACATAGTAAGACCCTATTATAAATTAAATTAAGGGGGCTGAGGATTTGGCTCAGTGGTGCCTCCACCTGCCATGCAAGTTCAAGGGCCTGAGTTCAATTCCCTGGTACAAAAAAAAAATTAATTAAATTGAAAATAGAGTTGGTGGCGCACACCTGTAACCCCAGCACTCGGGAGGCTGAGGCACAAGGATCACTGTGAGTTTGAGCCCAGCTTGAGCTACATAGTGAGTTCCAGATCAGTCTCAACTACATAGTGAGACCCTGTCTCAAAAAACAAACAAAACAAAAAAATCTTAATGATAAAGTATATCAAAGGCAGATTTAAATGGTTTTTTTTTTTTAAGTTTTTTGAGATAGGCTCCTACTATGTAGCTCAGGCCAGCCTTGAATTCTGTGATCCTACTGCCTCAGCCTCTTTTTGTTAAGACGCATTTATTCAGTGTTATGATCAGACTATTACATTTAGCAATCAACAGCACAGGAGCCAAAAAAAAAAGGTCTGTATTAAAACCCTTTGTTGGAATGCTTTCCACTTTCCACAGAATGGAAACCGAAATAACCTGTTACATAATTAGCCACAATGCTCGAGTTTTTTGGCCCATACACAAGTACTGTCCTAAACCACTTCTCCCACAGGGCCTGGCTGAGTTCGCAAATCTGTCTTAACCTGCAGCTTCCCTGTCACTTCTCTGCTAAGCTTTGTTTCCCGGCAGCACTAAAACCTCTGCCACCGCCACAGCTACTGCTGCTGCTGATGGAACCACCACAGCCACCTTGATTTCGTGTTTGGGCAAAGTAGTGGCCTCCACCAGCACAGGGCCCAGAGCTTCTGCCGCCAAAGTTTCCTGCCTTCATGGGTCCGAAACGTGAAGACTGACAGTTGTAACTGCCAGAATCATCGGATCCTCCGCCAGCTCCCAAACTGCTTCCATCGTTTCCAAATCCACCGCAGCCATCCCCGCCACCAGGACCTCCCGAACCACTCTGACCTCTGGCTGGAGGAAGCCTCGCCATCTCCCGTTTCCGCAGGCAGCTGTGGCCGTTCACAGCATGGGATTTCTGAATGGCGATCTTACCAGAATCAAGGTCATCACAGGCTGCAAAAGCAAAGCCCCTCCTCTTCCCAGTGACTTCAGTCACTTCAGCTTTCCGTACTGTTCAGAATCATCTCATAGGTGATGTTCTTCAGTATCTTCTTTATTTATTTTTTTGCGGTACTGGGGATTGAACTTGGGACCTTGCACTTGAGAGGCAGGCGTGGCACCACTAAGCTACATCCCCAGCCCTTTTAGGATGTTCTTTAAGCCACCAGTGAAGATCTTCCTCACAGTTAAGTGGGTACCTGGTCTCTGACTTGAGACAGCTCTGTGGTCCCACACCTCTTCACCCACCTCGGGTGGCCGTGCGTTCGTGGCTGCACCCACCTCTCCCACAGTGGTATAAGTGAAAACCCAGAGTCCCCGGAGTGCTTGGTGTTTGGACCCCTCACTGCCACACAGGCCGTGAACGTTGCCCATGCTCACAACGGCTTCTCAGACTCTCACTGGCTGTTCCGACGCAGCACTTCCCCAGCTGTTTGGGCTCCCAGGAGCCTCTCAGACGTGACGGCAGTCGGGAGAGAGACTGAGGGTGCTTCCTCGGCAGCGTCCAGGAGCAGAGGGGGTCTCAGCCTCTCGAGGTGATCCCGTGCTGGGTTACAGGTGTACCAGCACACCTGGCTCCTTCCGCTCTGCTTGTATTTCAGTCGTTTTGGTCTGGTGTGTGCATTATCAAGTGAAATTCTCTCTACTTACCTGGACAGGACGTGATGGTCAACAAGAATGAGGGTGAGCAGGCCAGCCTGGTGCAGTGCGTGCAGGTCAATCTCGTCGCGGAAAATCAACAGGGTCTCTGGAATATGAACCTTCTGAAGGAAGAAGACGTTGTCACCTCGCAGAGGTAGCTCGGAACGTTTTATATTTAAAACTGGTACAAAGACTTCCTGAGCTTCAGTTGTCTGCACAGGAGAGTGAAAAGAAGGCATCTCAAAGTTTTGGAAGACAGGAAACAGTCGCAAGACTGGGCTGGAGGGGTAGCTCGGTGGTGGTAGAACACACCTCAAGAATGCACGAGGCCCAGGGTTCCAGGCCAACACCAAAAAATTAGAAGCAACAAGAGTATTGGGACCAACAGACATGATCTTGGGTAAGCTACCACGTTCCTCAAAGCCACAACTACCTAGGCTGTAAAAATAAACAACAGATGGTGATCCCTCAGTTCGTGGTGGACTTTGGGACATTACTTGTCTGATATTAGAGAGAAATAAATGGAGGATAATTTTTTGGAGGGGTTCTGGGCTTTGAACCCAAGAATCTGCACATGCCAAGCACATGCTCTACCACTGCACCCCCAGGCCCAAAAGGATGTCTCTTCCCTTCCCTCCCTGGCAGTGACACAAAGGTCAACAAGATAACCCTGACAAAGTCCTGCTTTTCCATGCAATGCTGCACTTAAGGACGATCGGTCCCTGACAGTCAACCTGGACGAGCTCCTGACACCCAGAAGGAACCCACAAACGTGCTGTTTGCAGACTGCTTCGTGGCTTACTAGCGCCTCAGAACAGACGTCCTCATTCGTTTCTCACAGCAATGCTGAGACGTTATTTCGGATGTGACACAGACTTGGCAGAGTAAGGGATTTAACTCACCCTCGGCTAAGAGCTGGGCAGTGGCACCGCAGAATCTTGAACCCCAATCTTTTCATTCTAGGTACTCACCTTTGTCAGGTAGAAAGCCAAGGTGAGAGCAGATACCATGGAGTCCAAGTCACAGGCTTCATTTCCTAGCACCACGTGTAGGGGCCGGGACTCCTGGAGAGGAAGAAGTGGAAGCTGACAGGAGCCTCTTTGTCCATTTCCACTTATCTCCCACCCTGTGGGGGGCGTCCTCTCAGCTGCCTGGGTCAGAGGCCTGCTGGGCTGTCAGTGTGCGGTGCTCTTTTCATTTTCCTTTTTTTTTTGATACAGGGTCTCATTATGCAGTGAGACTGACCTGGAACTCACTATGTAGCCCAGGCTGGTCTCGAACTCACAGAGATCCTCCTGCCTCAGCCTCCTCAAGTGCTGGGATTACAGGCATGCGCCTCCACACCAGGTCGCACACATGTAGACAGTGTGTAATGACTGCATCGGGAGTTGGTGTATCTGCCATGCAGATATCTGCCACCTTTTTTCCTTTGGTGCTGGGAAGGAAAGTACACACTGTACAGCTGAGCTGAACTCCCAGCCTGTAGCCTCTTTGTGTTGAAAGCATTGAGAATCCTCTCTACAGGCTGTTTAATTTTTGTCAGCAGTGGGCACATCATCCCTCGTGCACACCTGCACCCCGTGTGCGCTTCACGGCCCTCTCTTGCTTTGCTTCTCCCTGGCTCTCTGCCTAGGATCTGGTATCCACTATTCTAGTCTGTACTTTTGTGAGATCAACCTTTTAGCTTCCACATAGAAATAAGAGCATATGGTGTTTGGCTTTCTGTTCCTGATTTCATACAACATGATTATCCTTCTGTTCTGCTCTTACTGTTGCTGGTGACACTAAATCCCCGGCCTTTTTTATTTTCTGAAAACAGTGTTTTGCTATGCAGTTTAGGCTGGCCTTGAACTCCTGGTGATCCTCCTGCCTCAGCTTCCCAAATACTGGGATTACAGGTGTGCGCCATCACACCTGGCAAAAGCTTAGTTGCTTTTGTTTTTGTTTTTTTGGTAATGATTGGTTAATACAAAAGTAATACAGTAATGCCTGGCACAGTTGATACATGTTTAAAAACAAGACCAGCCCGAGCACTTTCCTGCCCTTGGGCCAGCACTTCTTCTGCCAGACAAGGCTGCCGACAGGAAGTGCCAAGGTCTGCCGCCTGTACGTCCTGTCCATTTTCTCCGTCTCCGGAGACCAAGGCTGCCCGGGTTGCGGTGGTGCAGAGTGACAGCCGAACACTCGAGCTACGCAGCCCCAGAGAGCACTGAGGGGCCTACGCTCAGGAGAGGGAGCGCACACAAGAGGCCCCATGGCCCGACTGGCGAAGAGGTCAGTGGGGCAGAGAGGGCAGAGCCGGGGGACCAGGAAGCCAGCGGAGGACTCTGCTGCGGCAGCGCTGAATGGAGACAAAGCACAACCTCACCACTGAGGTGAGGAGATAACCAGCCTCTTGCTCGTGGCTGCGCTCCAGCGGGAACCAAAGGAATGAACAGAAGTACAAGACCCTAGAGCTTTAGCACACTCGGAACTGGAGGCCAGCGGCCCCTCCCACCGTCACCACCATTACCCCATCCGGGCTGTTTGTGCCCCCAAAGCGTGATGAGGATCCCCAGCTCCCCTACTCTCTGCACTACGTGTTGCTGTTTCAGAAAGCAGCACACCGTCCGCTTGAAAAGATCACAGAATGCGACTGAATCCCAGCACTGCCTCTTACTGGCTGTTGGGGACTTTGGCTTCTCAAAGCCTCATTTTCTAGTATAAAAAAATGAGAAAAATAGGGCCAGGGATTTGGCTCAGTGATTCCGCCACCTGTCTCGCAAGCGCAAGGTCCTGAGTTTGATCCCCAGTACCAAAAAAAAAAAAAAAAAACAGAAAAAGAAAAATACTATAACCAAGTTCATGAAGTTTCTTTTGAGACAGGGTCTTGCTATGCAGTTCAGGTCAGCCTCAAACTCACAGGGATCCTCCTGCCTCAGCCTCCTGAGTGCTGGAACTACAGGTGTGTGCCACCATGCCCAGTAATGAAGGTGTTATCAGGATCAAAGGAGACATCAGGGGCCAGGGATTTAGCTCAGTGGTTCCAGCACCTGCTTCGCAAGAACAGTAGACCTGCGTTCGATCTCAGGTACAAAAAAACAGGAGACATCAGCTCCATGCCCGCTCTGTAAACAGTAAAGAAGCCGCCTCCCCTCTCCTCTTCCTGCCCTCTCCACCTCAGCCCTTTTCCTGGGCAGCCTTCCTTAGCACCCATGCCAAGCAGTCTTCTGCTACCCCATGACCCAGCACTTGTGTCTCTGGGATGGAATTTAACCTCTACCTTAAAGGGTGTCGCTATCTTGCTGCGACTGTGCATCCTGAATCCTTAACATCGCTCCAGTCGGGTGGCTCTATCCTTTGTCGTTCAAACCAGAAGACTTTTGGAAAAGGAAAGAGTGCCCTTAATGATCACGCTCGGGGTAACAGACTCCAGGGCACACTGGGTGCCCATCGTACACACGCTATCCTGCTCATTTTGGGAAAAGTGTCCCTCTCAGGCTCTCAGAGCAAACAGCCTCAGTTTCCTACCCTCAGAGGAAGGGCGCAGGGCAAACACAGCTATATCCAGAGCGCAAGGAAACCTGAGCTGCCAAGGGAGGAGACACATCTGAGAGCCACAAGTAAATATAAACTTTTTTTCTAAAGAAGACTTGCTGCTGAAATGGCTCTCAACCTGCTCTTTTCTCTGTGGGCTCAATGTGCGGCCGGAGGGGAATTTAGGGTTGGCACAGTAATCCACTTCCCTTCTGAAGCTGAATATGGTCTGATAACTGTTCAACAAAACACTTCCGAAGGGAGGACAAACAGCCAAAGACAAACTCCTCTGCCTCGGCTGTGTATTTATTGTGGCTGTTTTTAGGTGCTGGGATAGAAGACCCGTTTACGAGGCCAGCACTTTACCATCAAGCCCCACCCCTTTTTTTGGTCACCCTCACGTGCCATCACACCCAGTTAGGACTACACTTTTTTTGTTTTGTTTTGCTTTTGAGGCAGGGTCTCACTATGCAGTTCAGACTGCCCTGAAACTCACTGTGTAGCCGAGGCTGGTCTCCAACTCACAGCGATCCTCCTGCCTCAGCCTCTCTAGTGCTGGGATTACAGGCATGTGCCGAAAGGCTTACAATTTTTTTTTTTTTTTTTTTTTGAGATAAAGTCTCAGTAGGTAGTTTAGCCTGGCTTTGAACCCACCACACCAGGCAGGGCAGAAATATACATTTCTAAGGCCAGCCAGCCACTCAGCCACTGCCTCCTGCCTGAGAAGCGTACACAATTCAGTATTTAAAGATTCCTGGGGGTAGTGTGGTGGTGCACACACACCTATAATCCCCGTCTTACTGTCGCTGTGGCAGAGGCTATAGAAACTTTCTGAGGGCCGGGAATTTAGCTCAGTGGTGCCACCAACTGCCTCGCTAGCACAAGGTCCAGAGTTCGATCCCAGACACCAAAAACAAAACAAAACAGAAAATTTCTCTGAAAGTACAGAAAGGAAATGTGGTATCAACAGACTTGGTTAGATTATTAGCTGTCTTTATCCTATACCGAAGCCAAGCATTCACCATTCCCTAAGAAATTTACAGTTAAACTATCATTTAATAGAAATACTACAACTTAATGGTGTCTGTTTGAAGCATGTCTCTCCTTACATAAGAAACATAACAGGCTGGCCGCTGGGGAATGGATGCAGAAAAAGGTTTTTTAATCTTTTTTTATTTAATATTTTTAAAAACTCTGTTCAGGGGTGGGGGTACTGTAGATTGAACCCAGGTTCTCCACACTAGGCTACATCCCCAGCCTCTTATTTTTTGAGACAGGGTCTCACTAAAGTCCGGGCCCTTTTTTTTTTGGACCAGGGATTGAACTCAGGACCCTGCATTTGCAAGGCAGGGGCGGTGCCACTGAGCTAAATCCCTGGCAAGAGAGGGTCTCACTAAGTTGCCCAGGCTATGCTCAAATTTGAACTCCTCCTGCCTCAGCCTCCAACAGACTGCTCAGATTTGAAGTGTATGTTACCACACCTGGTTTGTGTGTATTTTATTCTGTAATTAAAAGCAATCTAGAGCCAGGTATGGTGGTGCACTCAGGAAGCGGAGGCAGGAGGATTATCCTGAGTTCGAGGCCACCCTGGGCTGCATAGTGAGTTCATGGAACTGCATAGCAAGACCCTGCCTCAACAAAATAAAACAAAGCAATCTAAACCATTAGCGTCCACCCACCACTATGTCCTTATACCTGTTCGGGCAATATTCTTTAGAGTCTAGGGCCAGGGATTTAGCTCAGTGATTCTAACGCCTGTCTCACAAGCACAAGGACCTGAGTCTGATCCCAGATTCCCCCCAACAAAAAAATTTAGAGTCTAATTTGCTCCTTTGACCAAACTATGATGATGAGTATTTTAAGGGACAACATCACCTTTACAAATTCACAGGTCTGGAAGGAGGGTCTACATCTTGCTCTTTGGGGAATGAATGCAAAGAGAAAAATGAGGATACCAGCAAACACTAGAAAAACCCAGTCTTTTCCAGCTTCATAATGCTGCAGATACACTGTTAGGAGGGGGCCGAGGCCCTGCAGAGGGCAGATGGTGAGGTTTCAGGTCTACCCTTCACCGAATGGTGGGAAAGAGACTGCTCATTTGGATTACGGGGGTGTGGGTGGAAAAATCCAACTCTAGTGCTGAGAATAGTACCACAAATATTATACTTTAGTCTTCCAGGGAGCTCCCTGTGATGAAATCAGAGGTAACTCAGAATTGGTTCTAAGTTGTCTTACGCATTAAAGCAACTTTCCCCAAATCCGTTTTTCACAAGAAAAAAAATTGGTGCAATTGGTGCCAAAACTAAACTTCATCTCAACTCAGTATGAGAACATTCATTTATCCCATCAGCTGGGTATACTGCAGAAATTAGGAGGTGATTTTCAGGATTTGTGAAAGGCCAGAACCTATTGTGTAAGTTAACTGGGAAGCACTTAAGATATTTTATGTATGTAGGAAATGGATGCATATTGAGGTTACACTTTTTTTTTTTGTGGTACCAGGGATTGAACTCAGTTCCTTGTGCTTGCGAGGCAGGCGGTGGAACCACTGAGCCAAATCCCTGGCCCAAGGTTATACTCTTAAGTGAAATAAATAAGTCACACATGCGTAAATACCAAATCGTTTCTGTGGTGTGAAAAACTATAATTGTAAACAAGATTCTAATGGTATAATTGACAATGTGTAATAGGAAGAAAAGGGCTAAAGGTGTAGGGGAAGTGGGAAGGGTAGGGGAAAGGTAATAAGGAAAAAGAAAAAAATATGAGAAAATGAAAAAATGGAAATGAAGTGTTTGTAAATAGGGAAGGGAGGAGGGGGTGAAGGGAGGGCAGGGGTATGGGGAAAAAATGAGAACCAAGACCTGTCATGTAAAGATACAAGAGCCCAATGATGAGTGTAACTGTACTGTATACCTAAAATGTACCAATAAACTTAATGAGAAAAAAAAAGATATTTTATGTATGTATTTACTTATTTGCAGTGCTGGGAATTGAGCCCAGAGCCTCTGTACTGAGCCACACCACCTGCCCTTTTATTATCATCATTATTATTTTATTTGGGAACACGGTCTCATTAACTCACTAAGTTGCCCTGGCTGGGCTTAACTCGAAATCCTCCTGCCTCAGCCTCCCAGAGTGCTGGGATTACAGGCACGTTTAAGGTACCTTAAAAGGAAGACACAGTCTAGGTTTCCGCAGGGGCATTATTGCAGCAGGGGGACAGGCGACCTCCCAGAGCCTGTCTCTGGTTGGCTTTTCCCTGCTAACTGCAGATAACAGACCAATGCTAAAGGATCAGTCAGCATGGCCGGGTGAGACCAACTGCCTCAGCCAGCACCCAAAATAAGCTCCAAATCATTCAGTCATGCTTCTGGCTTTGATTCCAAAACATACTCCGTGTTTATCCTTTCCAAGCAGAGGAGGATTTTTGTTATGTGTGAGAGAAACCGGGGGCAGAAGAATGCAGTTTGTGGGTCAACAGACACGGCTCATGTATTCTGCATGTTTGGCTTAAAAACAGATTTAAAGTAAAACACCGTGACCCCCTCTTCTATCTGAAAGAGTTCGGCCCGCCAGAGACACTACGGTCAGGGTAGGAGAGGGGCTCGGCCAGGCCTGGGGACCAGCTCAGGGGCCGGGAGAAGGAAGGAGCGCACTCGGGGGCTCGGCGGGCACCGGCGACAGCGCGCAGAGACTCAAACCCATCAGGACCCAGACCCGGGACTCCTCCTCCCCGCTCCGGGGCGGATCTCGAAGGCGGGGAACCTAACGCGGGGAGAATGAGCAGCATTCCCGGGCTCGTAAACCTACTACTACTCGCTCCTCACGCCCCAAGCCTCATCAGACCCCACGTCCCCTCCCCACAACTCGGTGACCCCTTCCACACGGACCGTCCGTGTCCCCCAGGTCCCATCTTCGTCCTTCCCGGACCCCATCCACGCTCCATTCCGTACGGTCACAGACAGGGATCCGTTACCTGCAGAGCGGTTCGACAACGCTGCAGGTAGTCCTCCATGGTGATGTCCAAGAGATGCCGTCGTCCCTGGTTGAAGAGAGGCTCTCGGGCGAATGCACCCCGCCCAGAACTCCGGGTCTAGAAGCAGAAATCAGGAGGCGGGACTCGAACCCGCCACAAGGCAATTCAGCCGCCAACCCTGGGAGGAAGTGCGTCACCCGGCACTCCCCGAGTCCGACGTCACTCCTCAGCGGCGGAGGCGGAGTTCTGCGCCCAGAGACTCCTGGGACGTCGTTCCGGAAGTGAAAGGAGCGCGGCGCGATGCGTGCTGGGAAATGTAGTCCAGGAGCTCCGAAACCATTCCAACAATTGGAGAATTTCCTTTGGGATTTGACACACAAATGTGTATGTTACATAATTAACCCACCGTTGTGGCTTCTGATCTTCCTCTCTCAGACTGGACTAAGTGTAGCAGTTTAACATACAAGACACCAAAAATCTAGTTATCCCTTTACATTCACAACATGACAAAACAGCTCTCCCTCTTCCTTTCCAGAATTCTCTGTTCATCTAACTAATCTATTGCTACCAGTTTGGTAGTTGTACATACAAGAAAAAACATTGAAGTCATCTTTGAGCTCTCTTCTTAATCCCTAGTCTTGCCAACCCTTGCTGTTTCTTCCTCTAATTCTGTAGCCTTTTTTTTCCCCCTACAGCCTCAGCAGATGCCTTCTCATTGCTTTCTTGGACTGTTGTAACCTTGGCATTTTGTGCTCTACTCCCTAATTGTTCCAACTACTCTTTCGGTCTTCAGACTTGCTTAAGGCCTCCTCCTGCAGCAGCTGTGTAGGTTTGGAGGAGGACCCTTCAGAATGCAGGTTCCAACTTCCCTTAACTGCCACTTTCTGCCCCTACACCTTCACCCTTCCCCTTCAAATAGGTCTCCTCTTCATCAAGTGTCTCCTCATTTATTAGCCTATCCCCTGCTTCCTACTGCCAGCCTCACACCAGCTCCACCCCCACCAGCTGAAAGCTGAGAGGCAGTGAGAGACTGAGGTGAGGCCTGTGAGCACAGGGCCCTCACATCTGCTTTGCGGCTTCTCTTCCTGCTGTGCTTTCTCCCCAGAGCAGGGGGCTCCTCCCACCCCTTCTCTGAGCTACCAGATGCACAGCCCAACTCGTTTCATTTCTAGACTAAGAAAAATGTTACAGGAAAGCCTTGGGAAGGCGCCCTATATGGGCTCCAGAGGGACAGGAGCAGGGCTTTTTTTTAGTAATAAACGAGTAAAAATGCAAATACCATGCTCTTGGCCCTGCTTCTGTGGATCTAGAGCACAGGTCTGTCCTGCACACACAGGGCGAAAGCCCAGATCCAACAAGCTGCTGCTGTCCAGCCTGCTCCTCTCCACTGGGCAGGGCACTTGCTCTTCCCGTTCTCACCAGAGAGGCACAAGTGCTGCGTCTCTTCCAGCGGCAGCCAAGGGAAGAGAAAGGGTCTGTTGTTTTTATCTCCCTGTTTCTCTCCCTCTCTGCTGCTCACCAAGCTGCTGACCAAGTAAGAACGCCTTGATGGAAATCCTCCCGTGTGGGCTGGGCCCCTCCTCCCCCAGGGAGCTTGTCCTTGACTAATTTTTCTTTGTCCCGATGGGAGAGAGAGAGAGAGAGAGAGAGAGAGAGAGAGGAAAAGGCAAAACCACAAACTTCCTTTGAAAACCAGTTTGTATTCAGGGCCTGAAGCACATGCCGGAGACTCAGCTACTCAGGAATCCTGAAGATGCTTGGAGAGAGAGAGCCCGGGAGCACCTGGACTGCACCTCTGCTTGCCCTCACCCTGCTGCGCTGCCCCCAGCCCTGGGGGTGAGTCCGGAAGTGGCCACAACCCAGCTCGCGCTGAGCCTGTGTCAACCTGTGTACACTGGGCCGGGACAGCCGGGCGGCACCGAGCTCCTCGGCGCCTCTTGTTGTCCCCCAATAAACTGCCAGAGCTGAACCTTCCTTCTCAGTCCTGGACCTGCACTCACCTCCTGAAGGTAAAAACTTTGTTTCACCCATCTTTTCCACCTCTTCCCACTCCGGCTCCGGGGAGCTGGCGGCTGGCTCTCCTCCCATTGGCGGTGTCTGGAAGTCTGCTTTGCTTGAAGGAGAATGGAAAGGACACACTGTTGGGCCCCTCGCTTCCTCCTAACCAAGCCCTTCCCCTCTTCCCTGGGAGCAAGTAGACCGGCGCGCTGTGTGAGTTATTCTGAGGGGAAAATTGAAACCATTGGTCGCTTGAAGATCTGGGTCAGATGCACACGGACAGTGAGGGACTCGAGGGGACAGAAAGTTCTCAGGGAGCGGCTCCTTCTGGACGACACACACACACACACACACACGCACACGCACACACACACACACCTATTTGAGAAACTGCGTCTACTCTGGGCCGATATCCTCCACAGGGGAGAGGGCCAGGGCTCTTTGAATTCCTCATCTGCCACCATAAGAGAATTCTGAGCTGGGGAAAAAGGACAGGACTTGAGCTGAGAAAAGAGAAGGAAAAGGTTGAAATTCTGATTTCCTTGAGTGCCCTCCCCTTGTCCTTTCCTGGTCTGAAGTACTCCAGGCTTTGCCACACCAGTACCTTGCAGGTGGGAACCCTCTTTACCCTCTGCCTGGCTTCTGGGGGCCCCTCTCCCCCAGTGTCAACTCCGATGTCTTTGGTCAGTCCCTCTGGCCTGCTCGCTTCCCAACCCCCTCTCAATTACTGATCACTTTTTAGCACTAGGCAGAAAAGAAGCCCTGTATTTCTTCAAGCTTTTGTAACTTTCCCAGTCTCTGGTATCTGCTTCAAGGCTCACCCTAAGTGACATGTGAAGGGGGGGGGGGAGAAAGGGGTAACAGAGAGAAAACAAAATGTGTAAAGCATTCAGGCAATTTTTGCTTCTCTTATTCTAAATTAACATGTAAATGAAATGTGACTAGCAGAAAAAAAATTTTTTTTGAGACAGGATCTTGCTGTGTAGTTCAGGCTGGCTTTGAACTCACCATGTAGCCCAGGAAGGCCTCAAATTCATGGTGATCCTCCTGCCTCAGTGTCCTGAGCGCTGGGATTATAGGATTACAGGTGTGCCTCACTTGTCTGACTGACAGATATTATTGCAGATTGTAAGAAGACAGCATTGTTTCAGGTGAAGAGGAAGCTGGAGAAAAGACAAGATTTCTTTCTTTGAGAAAAGAAAGTTTTCTGCTCAAAATGACCTTAAACTCACCATCTTCCTTCTACCAAGTGCAGAGATTACAGGCATGTGTGGCTGACGGAATATTTTTTAAACTAACCAGTAATTAGTATTTTTATATTCCACATAAACAGTTTGCTGGGTGTGGTGGTGAGTGCCTCTAATCCCAGCACTTGGGAAGCTGAGGCAGGACGACTGATGAGAGTTTGAGGCCAGCCAAGGCTACATAGCAAGACCCTGTCTCAAAAAAAATATCTGGAAGGGGCTGGGAGTGTAGCTCAAAGGCGGCACACCTGCCTGGCAAGCATAATGTCCTGAGTTCCATCCCCAGTACTGCAAACAAAACAAAAAAACCTAGGTGTGGAGGTGCATGCCTGTAATCCCAGCATTTGGGAGGCTGAGGCAGGAGGATCTCTGCCAGTTTGAGGCCAGCCTAGGCTACATAGTGAGACCATGTCTCAAAAAAGAAAGAAGGAAAAAGAGAAGCTTGCTGGAAGAATTTAAGGGGGTGCTTTTCATGCTCCCAACCTCAAGTTATTTATCAGAGCCACTCTTAATCCAAGTCTTCTTTTGTTTTTGTGGTACGGAAGATTGAACTCAGGCCCTATGCTTGCAAGGCAGGAACGATGCCACTGAGCTAAATCCCTGGTCCTAGTCCAAGTCTTTATAGCCCCCATTTCTCCGGCCTGTAAGTAGCCCCTCCCAGGACCTTCCTGCTGTGGTCTGGGGTTGTGTAAGGCTCAGCAGAGCCCTTTGGGGAGGGAGACTTCCCCTTTCCCACAGGGTGTCACAGCAGGAGCGCGGCTCTGCCCTGCACCCCAGCTCTATGTGACAGTGACCCTTCTCAGCCTTGGGGTGAGGCGGGGTCCCCCTTAGGGTCCCTCCTGTGCTGTGCAGTTCTGTGCAGGGAGAGGCATGACCCGTCCTGTCTGGCCGTGGTGCGGGTTGGGCCAGCGCCCCCTTCTGAACACCCCAACGCCCCCTTTGTGACAGGGCTCCTCACTAAGGCATCGGGTTGGCCTGGAACTTCTGAAATTCTTGACTTAGCCTCTCAAATAGCTGAGGCCTGTGCCTCTTTCTCTCTTTCTTTCTCACAGTGTTTCACTATATAGCTCAGGCTGGCTTTGAGCTCACTGTGTAGCCCAGGTTGTCCTCAAACTCCAAGTGATCCTCCTGCCTCAGCCTCCCGAGTGCTGGGATTACAGGCGTGCAGCACCACACACAGCTCTTTCTCTATTCCTTTCATCTTTCTCTTTTCCACTTTGGTTTCAGGGAAGCTGACTGCACCGGCCTTGGATCCCCCCAGAGTCCCCCCCGTCAAGCCTGGAAGCTCAGCCCCTCTGATCTGAGCCATCACAGCTACTGAGTGGTGACAGCTCAGCCTGAGCTCTGTGTGCGCAGCAGAGATCGGAGATCGGAGATCGGTGCTGCTGGAGCTGGGCGTGGCTGTGCAGACCAGGCTGCCTTCCGACCCCACTGACTTTCCTAGCCTGTTTTGGCTCTCTGGGCTTTGCAACCCAATGGTCCCGGTGCACTGGGCTCTCTTTTGTGCGCTGGAACTGGCCTAGGTGAAGCCCCAGGGCCGGAAACACCGTTGGGGCTCCTTATTTGACTCTTTCCCACCATGGAGCACGCTGGGCCTGAGCACCCGGACCCTGATGAGGCCGGGAGGGCAGAAGCGGTCACCTGGGAAAACCACGAGGTCCCCGAGGGATCCGAGGAGCAGCCTCAGGACGGGGACGCCAGAGATGCACATGGGGAGAGAGAGCAGGGAGACCCAACTCCGCTCCCTGCCCAGGGCCGGGAGAACCTTGAGTGTCCCGCACCTGAAGTCCACGCGCGCCCACCTGAGCCGGGCCGCGAGGAGCTCGGCAGCCAGAGCCGGACTTCTACTGCGTGAAGTGGATCCCCTGGAAGGGGGCGCGGACGCCCATCATCACGCAGAGCGCCAACGGCCCATGCCCTCTCCTCGCCATCATGAACACCCTCTTCCTGCAGTGGAAGGTACGAGCCAGTCCACCCCGGCGCTGGGGAGAAGCCGGGAGTCCTTCCCGAGCCACCGCCTCGATCTCTTCTCAGACCAGTCCCAACTTTCCAGATGGTTCTGCGTCCCGGTTCCTCCTGGGTGCTCTGGGGGCCGCCATGACCGCTGGCCTTTCTACTTCCAGGTGAAGCTGCCCCCGCAGACGGAAGTGATCACATCTGAGGAGCTCATGGCCCACCTGGGTGAGAGGCGGGGCCCTGAGAGGAGTTTCCCAGGGGCTGCCCACGTGGGCTGCGGAGGGTTTGTGGGGCTTCTCTGCCAGGCTGGAGAATGAAAAGCAAAGGTCCAGGGGTCAGGAATCCTGGTTTTTGTGGTTGTTTATGTTTGTGTTTTTCAGGACTTGGGGCCAAGCCTCGGGGCCTTGAGCGTGCTAGGCAAGCACTCCACCAGTGAACTACAGTGCCGTCCTTTGCCCCTAGTTTCTGTGTGTGGCCTCGGGTCACCTTTGTAAGCCTGTTTCTAGGGGGTCTGCATTAGACCTACCCTAAAACTTCCAGCCACGAAAGTCTTTGGTCCCAGGACGTTACTATCACCCTCCAGGAGAAGAGCAGGCCGAGCTTTGGGCTGTTGGTGGGACGGCTGATCGGGGCTCCTGTCTTGCAGGAGACTGCCTGCTGTCTATCAAACCCCAGGAGAAGTCAGAGGGACTTCAGCTCAATTTCCAGCAGGTGAGGCCAGTGGTCGTCGCACATAGGGGTTTGCAGGTTTGTAAGGGGACGCTGGATCACGGAGAGAAAGAAGCCTTTTGTTGCTTCTGAATAGGGTTCCTTGAACTGTAAGTTCTGCAGGAAGACCAGATGAGGTATTTCTGTCTTGATATCTGGGCATGGTAGTGCATCCTGTAACCTCAGTACTCTGGGAGGCTGAAACGGATTGAACATTCAAACTCAGCCTAGGCAAGTTAGACCTTGTCTCTTTTTTTTTGGTACTGGGGATTGAACTTGGAATGTTATGCTTGCAAAGCAAGCAGCAGAACCACTGAGCTAAATCCCTCATCCTGTGAGACCCTGTTTAAAAAAAAAAAAAAAAAAAAAAAAACCTGGGCATGGCAGCACATGCTTGTAATCCTAGCATTTGGGAGGCTGAGCTTAAGGGAAGGCTGAGATCCAGGTGAGCCTGGGACACACAGTGAGTTCAAGACCAGCCTGAACTGCGTACTGAGAACCTGTTTCAAAAAATCAGTACATGGGGCTGGGGATTTAGCTCAGTGGTGCCACCGCCTGCCTTGGAAGCGCCAGGTTCTGAGTTCAATTCCCCGATACCAAAAAAGAAAACAAAAAAAACCAAAATCAGTACATGAATAAATTTTTAAACTAAAAATAAAAAATCAGTCTGGGGATATAAAGGAGGAATGGAATGGCATAGAAGAGAGCCAAGGAAGAAAAGTTACAGGATTATTGTTACTGTTTTAAATTCCGGGGCCGGAGCGGAGCATGGAGGGCGGAGGCTGGGCCAGTGTCATTTTCTGTTTTGCCTCCAGAATGTGGATGACGCCATGACGGTGCTGCCCAAGCTGGCCACGGGGCTGGACGTGAACGTGCGCTTCACCGGCGTCTCTGACTTCGAGTACACTCCGGAGTGCAGCGTCTTTGACCTCCTGGGGATCCCTCTGTACCATGGCTGGCTTGTGGATCCGCAGGTGAGGGGAGGCCCCAGGCGGACTTCTGCAGCTCAGGCTGCAGGACTTGGGGAGGTGGGGTTAGAGAGGCAGGAGTTAGATTGGCCGGGTGGGAATAGCCTCGGAGACCAGACCTGCTGCGGAAATCCTTGACTTTTACCCTTTTTTGAGAAGAGATTACATGTGAGACAGGTTACATCAGATTACGTGCAAATAGGATCTGTTCTTTAGACATCAAAAATCCAGGGACCTTTGATCCTGGGGCTGCAGTCCTTGTGGGCTTGGTTCATTTCCTTCCTTAAAATACAGAACAAAAAGAACACTCCATTTTTTTGGTCCCACCCACTCTACACCCCATAAAGAGTCCCGAGGCTGTGAGTGCAGTTGGGAAACTGAGTTATAACCAGCTGGTGGAGAAGATCATCACCTGCAAACTCTCCAGTGACCCCAACCTCGTGACAGAAGGTGAGAGCCTCCCCACCCTCCCATCTCATGAAGGGGGAGGGCGGCTGCTTGGGCTCGCTGCCTGTCGCCTCCCACCGCACCCCACTTGTCCTGCTCACACTAGGTCCCAGCCTTGAGGACACTAGACAGACGCCCAGCCCCTGAGCTACACACAGAGCCCCAGTAGAGGGATTTCAGAAGGTGGGACTCCAGAGGGCTTTTGATGGGATTCGGGAAGATCCCTCCCATCCTGGATTCTGTTCTTCCAGTGGTGTATCCATTCCCGTCCCAGGCCTCAGGTGTGCTGGGCGAATGCTCTCCCACTGAGCCGGCTCCGGACCCCTTCCTCCCACTCAGTCCCTGGCTTTAGACTGATGCTGAGGTTGCTGTCTTGTGCCTTGCACAGGCCTGATCGCAGAGCAGTTCCTGGAGAACACCGCGGCCCAGCTGACCTACCATGGCCTGTGTGAGCTCACTGCAGCCGCCAGGGAGGGGGAACTGAGCGTCTTCTTCCGGAACAACCACTTCAGCACTATGACCAAGCACGAGGTAAAAAGGCCGGGGCGTAAAAAAGCTTCCTCTCCTGGATCAGTGTCACAGCCAGGACTCTGTGGGTACGACTGAGCCTCGGCATCTTTTGGTTTCCCACGGCGAATGTTGATTTCTCATTCACACTGTGTTCCGCTGCAGCTTGGTGACATTCTGTCCCCGGCCGTCTCCACTCCGGGACCCAGGCTGACAAAGAGCCTTTCTCTGGAACATGTGGGGAGAGAAAGCTGTCACTCCTGGTGCTTTGGCCTGGAGATGACATCTGTCATTTCTGCTCACCCTGCGATGATGGCAGAGGATGGCAGAGCAAGCCCTCGGGGCTAAGCCTGCACTCAGCAGGACAGGAAAGTGTAACCCTCGCTCAGAAAGCAGAAGTGGAACTTCCGAAGAACACTGCGGGCTTCCAGAGTTGGAAATCGCCAGAGCTCTCTAGGAATTTGTAGAGGGGTTCTTAAGGGTGTAACCCCATCACCAGAGAGCCAGTGAGTAGGGCAGAAGCAGGATCTCAGCGGACACCTCAGCCCCAAGGACTCCACAGCGACCAAAATGGCACCACACTGCCACCCACCTGGCCCTGCCCCGGGGCGGGCCTCCTCTCTCCCGGAGGCCACACACAATGACAAAAGGACGCGCGTTTCAGTCAGCATGCCTGTCTGCTCAAAGGTCTCAGAGGACCCAGGGCAGTGAGCCGCCCCGGTCGCCGTCCCACTGATGGGCTCTGTCTTTCTCTCTGCAGAGTCACTTGTACCTGCTGGTCACAGACCAGGGTTTCCTGCAGGAGGAGCAGGTGGTATGGGAGAGCCTGCACAACGTGGACGGAGACAGCTGCTTCTGCGACTCTGACTTCCGCCTCAGCCATTCCCTGGGCAAGGCGCCTGGAGCAGAAGGCGGGAAGGATGCCCCGGAGAAGCAGCTGCAGGTCGACCAGGTGTGTGTGGCCTCTGGGAAAAACGCAGAGCTCACTGGGCTCGGGGCTTGGGGCCGTGTGCATTTTATCATCGTCTGGGGGCCGTGACATCTGCCATCTGGGCTCCTGCACTTTCTGCTCCCCGCGGACCATCTGCTCACTTGGTGTGCATTTTCTGGCACTACAGAGACTACTGTAAAAGGCTCTGCCTTTCGCCCTGAGGGAGAAGGAACTGGAGAATTTGAAGGAAAATCTGGTTTGGAAACCTAGCCTGAATCTGTGCCCCCAGACCCTGTTCACATCGCCTCATAATTCCTTGTTTTTGTTTTTTTCAGACAGGGTCTCACTGTGTAGCCCATGCTTGCCTCAAACGTATAGTGACCCTGATCCTCCTGCCTCAGCCTCCTGAGTGCTGGGATTACAGTCGTCGCCCAGCTTTACTAGTAACGCTCGTTCTTTTCAGGACTACCTGATTGCCTTGTCCCTACAGCAGCAGCAGCCACAAGGCACGCTGGGCCTTACTGACCTGGAGCTGGCCCAGCGACTTCAGCAGGAGGAGTATCAGCAGCAGCAAGGGATGCAGCCCGTGCAGGCTCGGGCCCCACTGCCCCAGGTGAGTCCGCGGTGCTTCTCCCTCTGCAGGCCCCACTCCTGCCGGACCTTCCCCGGCACCCCTTCCTATCCTCCTTTCCCTGCTGTCCCAGATCCTGACCCTGTCTCGAATCTTCCAAAGGTGTTGGATGACCAGTCGTTAAATCCCATGCAGGAGAGAGGGGCCACGTCTGGACGGCCAGCTGGGGACCGGCGGCAGAGGCCGAAGCACCAGTCCGACTGCATTCTGCTGTAGCTCTGGCCCTTGGTTCCGAGGCTCTGGCTGCTCCCCACCTCGGTCCCTGAGAGACAGAGACGCGGGGCGACTTATTCATGAACTGTGGGGGTCAGGGCTGGCAAGGACAGATTCAGCAACCTCCTTGCCCTCACGCGCTGCTGCCTTCTCTTCCTCCCACCCAAGCATGGGTGGGCTGAAGATTTCTAGTTTCCAGTTCCCTTTGCCGGAATAGTCTTGAACAGACTCAGGCTCTGGGGTGAGATCCGGGTCTGGAATGCTGATCTGTCCTACTTCTACTTCTGTCTCTGGCTGCCTGGGGGCTCCTGGCTACTCAGCAGGCCTCTTTCCATTTGTGACAGCGTTTGATTTGGGTTTCTATCTCTGTTATTTGTAATACCTGCCTAGGGTTTGGAGATAAAACTTTTTTCCTGAGATCTGTTGTTTGCTTTACCCTGTAGCGATGGGGTTAGGTATTTGACCCTTTGGAGGAATGCAGAAAGCAGGAGAAAAGGGGAGAGGCAGGAGGTTGCCTGTCATTTCTAATCAAGCCGGCAGGGAGAACCTTCTTTCTATTTTATGTTTCTGTTTTGTTTTGTTTTGTTTTTGTTTTTGAGAGGGTCTCACTATGTAGCCAAGACTGGCCTCAAGTTCGAGGTGATCCTCCTGCCTCAGCCTCCTGAGTGCTGGTATTACAGTCATTCACCACCATGCCTGGCTTCTTTTTGTTTGTATTTTTGATAGGTGTTCTATGGGAAATTTGATAGGTGTTCTATGGGAAATCCTGTTTCAGAGAGAGATGGTTTGCCACGTCCTTCAGTGGACAGAGGAATTGGGCAAATTACTGAAATTTCCTAGGTTGAGGAGGGTAGTTTGATGCTCTACTATCTTCCCAGTTCACACAGAAGGTCTTTTGCTACCTCTGACCATTTCTGACCTTGTTCTTCAGTATTTTGCCTGGAGGAGACAGGGTATGAGGAGGGGCGTCTCCTAGGGGTGGACCATGTTGGAAACTAGCACTGGGCAGAAACAGGATTCCTGGGCCGGGGATTTAGCTCAGTGGTTCCGCCACCTGCCTCATAAGCGCAAGGTCCCGCGTTCGATCCCCGGTACCAAAAAAAGAAAGAGGATTCCTGCTGGGCAGCCCAGTGCCCATGGGAGGTGCTCTGAGTTGAAGGCCTCTTCCTGATACGTGTCCTGTTCCACCCAAACTTCAGATCAGGGACCACAGACAACAGGAGTGAGGTTTGCCGAAAGAATTGAAGTACCACTGGGGTTCTGGCCAGGGTCCCAGAGGATGAGGACAGAAACCATCAAAGATGTCCCATGACCGCACACCCAAGATGGAGCGACAGGACGCAGGTGCTCACAGCATTCTGAGATGAGGGAATTAAGGGATTTTAAAGAAATGCAGAGTCCCGGGATCAGCTGGGAGCTGGTGCAGCAGACAAGGTTCTGCTCAGAGGCTGGGCTGGCCTCCTGCAGGCTCAGCCAAGTGGACTCGCAGCTCCTCAGCTGCCCCATGAGGTGGGCGGCAGGCAGATTGATCTCAAAGGTCTTCGGCTCTGCACAGGGCCAGCAGGGCCTGGCCGCAGTCTCCTTTCACGGCACCCTGAAGACAGAGCTGGCATCAGTGAGGCCGTGGCCCCAGGGCCCAGCCTCTGGCCTCTGACCAACTCCTCCCTGGTGCCGCTCCACAGCTGGGGCTGGGAGTCTGACACTCAGGATCTCGTGGCCACCGAAATGCTCAGGGTGGGCAGGGACCGTGCAGGGAGGCGAGGAGTGAACTGCTCTCCAGGCCAAAGGATGGGCCCAGTCTCACCTGGAGAGCAGAGTAGAGGGACTTCCCGAATTTCTTCCTGAACTCAGCTCGGATGCTCAGAAGGTCAATCTCACTGCGAGACACGAGGATGCGCATCAAGTCTTGGTAATTGGGCTCGGTTCCCTGCTAGAGGAAGGAGGACATGGAGAGAACAGTTAGGAAGATTTGCACAGGAGTCACGGGGAGGTTTACTGGAGGAAGCGGAGGTGAGGTGGGGCCAAGGGAAGAGAGAAGGGAGTATATATATATTATTTGTGGATTATTTCAGGTCAAGCGCTACTGCTGTCCATCCATCCTCATTAGAAGATGGTGTCGCAGGAAAGATCAGTCTCTGAAGGGGAGTTTGAATATTTTTCTGTCTTCCTTCATCCTGCCACTGTATAACAGCCTCTTTCCCCCACAGCTGAGTGATGAGAGGCCGAGGCAGGAAGATCACAAGTTCAAGCCTAGTCCGGGCATCTAGTGACTTAGCAAGACCCTGCAGTAGAGCACATGCTTGAGCCCTGGCCTGGGTTCAGTCCCCACCCCCAGAAAAGAAAATGGTACTAAAACAGAATGCTCTAAGATGGGTACAGGTGGTATTTGCCTGTAATCCGGGCTATTTGGTTTACTTTTTTTTTGAGCCAAGATTTCACTTTGCAGTTCAGGCTGGCCCTGAATTCACTGTGTAGCCCCGACTGGCCTCATGGTCCTCCTGCCTCAGACTCCCAAGTGCTGGGATTACAGGCATGTGCCACGATGCCCAGCAATCCTAGCTATTTGTGAGGCTGAGGCAGGAGGACCACAAGTTTGAGGCCAACCTGGACAATTTAGTGAGTCTGTCTAAAAATGAAAAATAAAAAGGGCTGGGGTATAGTTCAGCCCTGGATCAATCCCCAGTACCACAAAATAAAATTAAAAGGTACAGGATTATTGGAAAATTTTTTTTCTTTCTTTGCTCTTTTTTGTGGGGGTGGGTGCTGGAATTGAACCTAGGGACTCGCACATACTAGGCAAGTGCTCTACCACTCAGCTACCTTCCCAGTCAATTTTTCCTTTTAAAAATATTCGGGAAAGGCTGGGGATGTGGCACAATGCCTGCCTAACAAGCACAAGGTCCTGAGTTTGATCTCCAGTACCAGGGAAAAAGAATTCAGGAAAATGAGGCTATATTATTTTGTGACTCTTACTTCTAGGATAAATCCAGCATTTACATCCAAAAATACAGCCCTAAGATCATTTACTGCTGACAGTTTGCTTTTGTGAGTGGGTTGTATGCGTGTGTGTGTGTGTGTGTGGTGCAGGGGACTGAACATTACCTATGCTAGCTATACCCCTAGCCCACAAGGTTTTGTTTTTATTTATTTTTAGAGTAATGGGTATTTACCCAGGGGTACTCTACCATGGAGCAACACCCTCCAACCCTTATTTTTAATTTTGCTTTTTAAAAAAATATTTATTTTTTGAGACAGGGTCTCACCATGTAGCGCAGGCTGGCTTTGAACTCACTACGTAGCCCAGGGTAGCCTTAAACCCACAGTGATCCGTCTGCCTCAAGCTCTCCTGTGCTGGCATTCCAGGCACGCACCACCACACCCTGCCTTCAAATTTGTTTTTATGACAGCTTAGATGGTTAACTATCCCTCTTCAAATGCATCTTGGAGTTGACTCATTACAAGAATCCAGGCTTTCTTGATCAAGAAGAATCTAGAGACACTGGAAAATAATAATTTAGGGAAGAAAAAAAGTAGACTTCCAGGAATTGGGAAGGAACTGATGGGAAAATTAAAAGCTTCAGACTAGTTTGAGGGACACACCACAGTGCAGAGAAGGAAGCAAAGCAGCCTCTTACAGGCTCTCAGCTCATCAGGAAAGGAGCCCCGCTCCACAGAGGCGAGGTGAAAGCTAGGGGCTCTGGGGAGACATCATGGTGGTGGGCTGGGCCGGCCGCGCAGGCGCCAAGGAGAGCCTGTGGTTGTGATCTGCAGGACAGTGCCGGGTTTTACTCTGCTGCCTCCATACAGCGGGCAACAGCCAGGCAGGGATCCCGGCACAGGCACCCACCAAGTCGCCGGAGTGCGTGGCTGGGCACCATTCCCAGAAAGGGTTGATTGTTGGAATGTGAGGCTCAGAACGGCTGAGAGGGGTGGCTTCACTTCAGGTCCACTGTGTTACCCTCCCACAGAGACTGGGCGGAAGGCAGCCATGGGAGACAGGCAGAGAGGGAGCAGACCGGAAAGACATTCCCCAAAGGGTTTGAGCCCAGGCCTAGCTTGAGTTGTGTGGGGTCTGAAAGGGCCAGCACTGAATGCTTGAGCCCTTGCCCTGCTGCCTGCATCTAGCGTGGATCTAGGGTCTGACTGCCTTCCTATCTACTGGTGCAAGCAGGGACACCTCTTGGCTTGACATCGTCACAGCCTGGGATAAACAGGCAAAACCACAGGCTCTAAGGCTGAGCAGAGAAAACTGTGACTTGCTGGGCTCCAAAACTGGGGGCCCAGAAGAAAACCACTCATTCAAAAGCACAGAGAACTTTTTTCTCTCTTTTTGCTCTCTAAAAACTTTTATTTCCTTTTCTCTTTCTCTTCACTACTTTATTCGGGCCTGGGGAATTTTCCTTTCTCCTTCCTTGTTTTCCTTTTAATTTTTTCTTATTTTTATTTTCCATATTCTTTCTTTCTCTTCTTTCATCCCTTTTTTTTTCTATTTATCTTCTATTTTTATATATTTATCTTCTAATTCTCATTTGTTTTCTTCTGTTATCTATACCTAGTTCTATAAATATCCATCTGCTCTTTTTTGTTTGTTTGTTTCTTTGTTTTTGATACTGGGGATCAAACTCAGGCCCTTGCACTTGTAAGGCAGGTGGAGGAACCACTGAGCCAAATCCCTGGCACTCAAATTTTTCTTGATTATCCAATTTCCAACCCCTTATCTCTTTAACAGTATAAATACTATACTTTATTAGCCTTCAGATAGTCAACTGTCATGTTATTACTGTTGAATTCCTTTCTATCATTAGTGGAGATACAGTTTTGCACTGTACATATTTGCTATATTTCAATATTTGGCTTGTTTTGGGCCAGGTGTGGTGGTGCCTGCCTATAATCCCAGCACTCCAGGAGGCTGAAGCAGGTAGATCGCTGTGAGTTTAAGGCCACCCTGGGCTACAAAGTAGTGAGTTCAAGGCCAGCCTGCACTGCATAGTGAGACCTTGTCTCCAAAAAAACCCCAACAAAGAACTGGATCGTCTTAGAGTTTGTACTATAACTGTGGATTTTTTGTGCTGGAATTGTGGGTTTCTTTCTATAGTTAAGGGCGGTGCATTATGTTGCTATTCAGTTTGTACTGGATGATAGTATTGCTGCTGATTTGTTCAGTATTCTCCGGGTCACGAGGAAACGTTTCTCTTAATGACTCTTCACTGCACTAACACCTGGATTACCTTTGTGAGGTTAACGACACCACAGTCTATTCCTAGACAACGGGTGTCAGGCCATTGCAATGCGTCCCCTCCCAGATGTTTTTTGTTTTGTTTTTGGGAACCAGGGATCGAACTCGGGCCCTTTTGCTTGTGAGGCCGGCGGCAGAACCACTGAGCTAAATCTCCGGCCCTTTCCCTTCCCAGGTGAACAGAAGTGATCAGACACAGGGGAAGGACTCTGGTTACCTGTGCCCAGAGTGCATCACTGACAAGCAGACTAAAAGAGATCTGGATACTAGTGGGTGTGCCTATAAACCTAAGCACAACACAAACTGAACAAAAACAATAGAAACACACTGTAAGAGGACAAGGTGCCAGACTGCCTCTCAAACCTCTCGCAGCTCTCAAAATCCCCAACTCCCTCAAAGATGGTCCTGGGGCAGCTGGGCATGGTGGCGCACGCCTGTAATCCCAGCACTCGAGAGGCTGAGGCAGGAGGGTCTTTGTGAGTTCAAGACCAGCCTGGGCTACATAGTGAGTTCCAGGTCAGTCTCAACTACATAGTGAGACCCTGTCTCAAAAAAATGGAAAACAAAACAAAACAAAACAAAAAACCTTAAAAAAACTCATAGCAGGTATAACTAAACAGATAATGGAAGCATTAAACAAAAGCATCCTGGAGTTTACAGAAAATACTAATAAAAAGCCAGCTGAGCTGGGCATGGTGGTACAAGCCTGTAATCCCAGCACTCATGAAGGCTAAAGCAGGAGTATCTCTACAAGTTTGAGTCCAGCTTAGGCTACACAGTGAGCTCAAAGCCAGCCTGACTATATAGCATGACCCTGTTTTTTTAGAAAGAAGGAAAGAAGGAAAGGTTAAGCTACTCGTGGTGGCACAGGCCTCAGCTATTTGAGAGGCTAAGTCAAGAGTTTCAGAAGTTCCAGGCCAACCCGATGCCTTAGTGAGGAGCCCTGTCACAAAGGGGGCGTTGGGGTGTTCAGAGGGGGGTGCTGGCCCAACCCGCACCACGGCCACACAGGACGGGTCACGCCTCTCCCTGCACAGAACTGCAGAGCACAGGAGGGACCCTAAGGGGGACCCCGCCTCACCCCAAGGCTGAGAAGGGTCACTGTCACATAGAGCTGGGGTGCAGGGCAGAGCCGCGCTCCTGCTGTGACACCCTGTGGGAAAGGGGAAGTCTCCCTCCCCAAAGGGCTCTGCTGAGCCTTACACAACCCCAGACCACAGCAGGAAGGTCCTGGGAGGGGCTACTTACAGGCCGGAGAAATGGGGGTTATAAAGACTTGGACTGGAGAGTGGTTCTGAAAAATAACTCCAGGTTGGGGGCATAAAAAGCACTCCACTCAGCCAGGCATGGTGGCGCACGCCTATAATCCCAGCACTCAGGAAGCTGAGGCAGGAGGATCGCTGTGAGTTCGAGACCAGCCTGGGCTACATACTGAGCTCCAGGTCAGTTTCAACTACATAGTGAGACCCTGTCTCAAAAAAAACAAAAAACAAAGAAGCACCTTCCCCCAATTCTTCCACCAAGCTTTTCTTTCTCCTTTCTCTTACCTTTTTTTTTTGAGACATGGTCTCACTATGTAGCCTAGGCTGGCCTTGAACTCACAGCCATCCTCCTGCCTCAGCCTCCAGAGTGCTGGGATTACAGGCATGCGCCACCACACCTGACTGCCCCAAATTATGACAGGTTGTGAGGAGACAGTATTGCTGAGCGTGGAAGAACAAAAAGAAAAGAAAAATCAGATGAAAGTCGAACTTTTGCATCCTCCTGCGATGAGACCCAGTTGCAGACTAGCAATCCTGTCCCCCAGAGGAGGAGGAGCCAGTCCGGGAGTCATCTCCCTGCCGGGCCTTCCTCAGGTCGGCACAAGTCCACCACTGAGCCGCAGGATCAAGAAAGGTACTGCAAGGTCCTGAGTTAGCTCCCTAGTACCAAAAAACCAAAAAAAAAAAAAAAAAAAAAAAAAAAACAACCAAAAAATAAAACCCGAAAAACAAAAATGGGGCCGGGGATTTAGCTCAGTGGTTTTGCTGCCTGCCTCGCAAGTGCAAGGAACTGAGTTCAATCCCCAGTACCACAAAAAGAAAAAAAAAAAAAGAGAGAAAGGTGGGAAACCAGGATCTCAAAACTACTGCAGAAATCCCTTCTCTGGAAGCAAGATATATCCTGTATGGGTGCAAATTTCCTATGATGAATGTTATCATTATGTCTATCTAAAACGAACTGGTAAATATTTTGCTAAAAGAAAAAAAAATCCCTTCTCAGCCAGAGAAGATCCACAGAGATGAGAACGCAGTTTCCTCAGGAAAAAGTGAAATAGATGATAATGAAAGTTCAAAGGAAACTTCAGGAAGAAATTTTCTCTGCACATATGGGTTTTCCCAATTTGGGAACAGGAGGAAAAGAGCTGCCTTTACTACTCTGAACTTTAAAAAGCCCCATGAGGCTCATTTTTAATGAGACGGAGTCCTGTGACAAATATATTGAGAAAGAAACACAACTCATCCAATGGACGGGCCAGCGGAAGAGATACAGCCTGCACCATGGGTCCAAGGGCTTGGCCAAGCACTCTGCTTGCTTTATTAAAAACAAAACCAAACAAACAGGATCTCACTATGTAGCCCTGGCTGGCCTCAAACTCACAGCAATCCTCCTGCCTCAGCCTCCTAATTGTTGGGATTACAGGCGTGCACCTCCACACCTGGCGATAAAATCCACATCAGGTTTTCAGCTGCACAGACAACAAGCATAAGGACTCCTGACCAAGACTCCAGCCCAAAAGTTTCCACATCTGGGGATACACAAGACCCGGTGGGGGACCCCTGAGAGGACTCCTGCTGCCGCCATCCCTGCCCCCAGCTGACAACCGCTCCACGCGGCCCCCTCTTCAATGAGAAACCGGGTGTCTGATCTCAGAAAGCTCGTGGCCTCCCGAGCCGAAAGCCTGGGGGCCATCGGAAGGAAACACCCTCCGAGGGAACGCGTGAAGCAGTTCGCATCCGGGACAAAAGGCCCTGCCTCACCTCCAGACCAGGGGAGGACGAAGGGAGAAACAGGAGCAGGAACAGGAGAAGAAAGCCAAAGTTTTCAGAGCTTGAAGTGGCTTCGTTATGGTTACATGGGAACAACTGTTTGTAACTGTTTCTTTATTCTGGACCAGTTTTCCTTTTGCGCATATCTCGACACTGCTCTCCTCCTCCTGCCCTCTTTTAATCGAGATCTTTTCTGCAGGTAGCTTCTGTTCATTATCTACGACGACGCAGTGTCCTACGTCCATGTGCCACAGCTCTGAAGGGTAGGCTCACTTTAAAGCTCCAAAATTCTCTGGAATGGTTTTCACCTAAGCCTCCGCACAGCTCAGTTTTCTGATGAGACCAGTTCTGGATTCCTCACCTAGATCTGTCACGTCTAAGTCCTTCTGCCGGGGCCAGGGGCAGTAAGCTATACTGTAAGCTTCACAGAATTTGAACAATGAAATTCAGGGTAAAGCCAGGTGTGGTGGCGCACGCCTGTAATCCCAGCACTCGGGAGGCTGAGGCAGGAGGATCGCTGTGAGTTTGAGACCAGCCTGGGCTACATAGTGAGTTCCAGGTCAGTCTCAACGACATAGTGAGACCCTGACTCAAAGAACCAAAAAAAAAAAAAGGGAGACAGTGATACTTGCACACCCAAGCTCATAGCAGCACAATTCACAATAGGTAAATCTTGTAGATATAGAAATTCTTTGTTTTGTTTTTTTTTTTTTTGTACTGGGGATTGAACTCAGGACCTTGGGCTTATGAGGCAGGTGGTGGCACCACTGAGCTAAATCACAGCCTACAATAGCTAAATCTTGGAAGCCAACTATCTGCCTGTCCACCCATGAACAGATAAAGGAAATGTGGGGTTGATACACGATGGGGTACTGCTCTGCCGTAAAGGATTCACTGGAGTCCTCTGTAGAAAATGAATGCACCTGGAGACCACAATGTTAAGTGAAATAAATTAGAAACCACCTCAGATATCACGTGGTTTCTCTTAGGTAGAAACCCACATATACAGAAAGAGCAAAACGAAAGTTTTGTAGAGGGCTTCTTGGTTTAGTAATCAAAACACTGTGGTTTTTCTGCATTTTGTGCTGTCATATTTGACAGCTTTTTAAAAGTGGAGGGCCAGGGATTTTGCTCAGTGGTGCCGCTGCCTGCCTCACAAGCTCAAGATCTCGAGTTCGATCCCCGGTACCAAAAAACAAACAAACAGACAAAAAAAGTGGATAAGCTTTAGACTTTACTAACTCTCTCTCTCTGTTCGTGATAATATCACATTGTGTTTTTGTCAAGTAAATAAACTTCTGGATGTGAAAAAAATTACTGTCAGAATGGAAACATTAGATAACAGAGCAAGTGCTTATATAGACTGTCTTTTCTTTTTTTTTCCTGCAGTGCACAGTATTGAACACAGGACTTGAATACGGTTGCTAAGTGCTCTCCCAATGAGTCACATCCCCAGCCTTCTGTAGGTTTCTATTTTGGGGCAGGGTCTTATTAAATGGCCATGGCTGGATTTGAATCTTCCTGCCTCAGCCTCCTTCATACCTAGGATTACAGCTCTACAGGCTGGGGTTTTTTTTTTTTTTTTTTTTTAGACTGGGGTTCACTATATAGTCCAGGCTGGCCTTGAACTCGTAGCA